AGCCAGACCAATCCTCAGCAAAAAAAAAAAAAAAAAACAAATCAGGTGGTATCACATTACCAGACTTCAAACTTTACTATAAAGCTACAATCATCAAAACAGCTTGGTATTGGTACAGGAACAGGCATATAGATCAACGGAATAGAATTGAGATTCCAGAAGTAAAACGTCAATTTCTCAACCAACTCATCTTCGACAAAGCCCCCACCACCTACCACTGGGGAGAGGAGAACCTATTCAGTAAATGGTGCTGGGAAAACTGGCTGACCACATGCAGAAGATTGAAACAGGACCCCTATCTATCCCCATGCACAAAGGTTAACTCCAAATGGATCAGAGACCTAAATGTAAAACCTCAAACCATAAGAACCTTAGAAAATGAAGGAAATACCCTCATGGAAATTGGAACTGGCATCCAATTCCTGAACAAACCCCGAAACCCACAGGTCATAGAGAGAAGATAGACAAGTGGGACCTTATTAAACTGACAAGCTTCTGCAAAGCCAAAGAAACCATCAAGAGAGCAGGGAGACAGCCTACAGATTGGGAAAAAGTATTTGCCAACTCCAGGTCTGACAAAGGCTTAACATCCTGGATCTATAAGGAACTCAAACGTGCTGAAAAAAAAAAACAAACAACCCCATTATCAAATGGGCAAAAGATATGAACAGATACTTCACAAAAGAAGACATCCGAGCAGCCAGCAAACACATGAAGAAATGCTCAACCTCACTAATCATCAGGAGATGCAAATCAAAACCACACTGAGATACCACCGCTGGGCATGGTAGTGCACGCCTGTAGTTCCAGCTACTTGGAAGGCTGAGGCGGAAGGATCGCCGGAGCCCAGCAGCTCGAGGCTGCGGTGGCCAGGAGCGGCCACTGCACTCCAGCCTGGGTGACAGAGTAAGACTCCAACTCAAAAAAAAAAAAAAAAAAGGAGGTTCACCAGCAGGGCGCGATGGCTCATGCCTGTAATCCCAGCACTTTGGGAGGCAGAGATGAGAAGATTGCTTGAGCTCAGGGGTTCGAGACCAGTCCGGGCAACTTGGCAAGACCTCATCTCTACAATAAATCCAAAAATTAGCCAGGTGTAGTGGCGCACGCCTGTAGTTCCAGCTACTTGGAAGGCTGAAGAGGAAGGATCTCCTGAGCCCAGCAGGCTAAGGCTGCATTGGATGTGAGCGTGCCACTGCACTCCAGTTTAGGTGACAGTGAGACTCAAAAAAAACCAGAGAAAGATTTCCAGGGTTTGTGTCTCCTACTAGGATTTTCCTGACCCACTCTCCAAAAGCAGGGCAGATTCCCCTTTTGCAGCAAACCAGAGCTCGAGGTGACTAGTGCACACCCAACACACAAGAACAGACCAATCTGCCATACATCAGACGGACTCCCATCCTATCTGTGTCCATCGTAAAGTTAAAAGTACAGGCCAGCAAGCTGGGCATGGTACCGCCTGTCTATAATCCCTGCACTTTGGGAGGACAAGATGGGAGGATAGCTTGATTCCAGGAGTTTGAGACCAGCCTGGGCAACATAGCAAGACCCTGACTCAACAAAAAAATTTAAAAATTGAGCATAGTGGCACATACCTGTAGTCCCAGCTACTTGGGAGGCTGACATGGGCCATGCTTGTGCCACCACACTCCCAGCCTGGGTGACAGAATAGGGTTCCAACTCAAAAAAAAAAAAAAAAAAGGCTGGCAAAGCACCCATGGGGGTACATAGAGCCTACATCATTCCATGTACATGTACTCACCCATAAGGCTTCCTGTTGGGCTTTTCTCCTTCCCCTCCAGAGGTTCCAGTTTCTGACCATCCATCCCCAAACCCCTTCCCCTGCCCCTCAGCTACAACCTGAGCAACTCTTGCTCCAGAGTCCCAGAGGGCTGGGGCCTGAGTGGCCCACAAGCATCATCCTGGAGCAGAGATCTGAGGAAAACAGGTTCGAGCTGCAAAGTAGGGGCTGAAATGAGAGTCTGGGCTACTACTCCTCCCCAATCAGGCTGAAGCAGGGAATGCAGCGATGGTGCAATGCAGCTCTTTAGAGTTCTGAGTGCACAACCCTCTTTCCTTGTCACATTGGGCATTGGGCACCTGACAAAGCCATTACCATGTCCATTCTATGGGTGGGGTGACTGAGCCCAGCAAAGGGAAGTGGTTTGCCCTTGAAGTAGCAGGGTCAGGACTCATTGCCCTGGTTGAACTGATAACTGCACATCTTAAGAGTCTCCTTCTGTAGTCCTGCCTGGCACCAGATTCCACACCTGCCCCCACTGGGAAAACCCAGGATTGGTCTGTAGAGAGCCTGAGAGCTGTGGGCCTGCAGCCGACCTCCGGGTGAAACAGGATGGTTTGCTATTGGTCAGTAATCCCTGGCCCTCCCAGGAGCCCATAGAGAGACCTTGGACAAACGGTCCCAGGGACCAAGGAAAAGGAAGGCAGAGGAAGGTCAAGGATGACCATGGACCACTGGGTTCTGTAAGGGATGGGCATATATTTCACTGCCTAAATATAAACCCTGGCACGCTGATACTTGAAATTGATTAATGAACAAACAACACAGGCAGAGATATAGACACCAGCTCATGAAGCCAACCAATCTATTTCCTATTCTAATGTCAATTCTGGGCTGAGCTCTCCCATGACAGTGACAGTGAGGACAGTCCAAGATTCACAAAGACCAAGAGTTGAGACTGAACTGGAGACCAGTGTTCCCACATGTGGCTTCTCATCACCTTGAGGTCAAAGCTTGCTAGACAGGCATCAAAATCCCTCCAAAAGGGCCCCTGCCCTGACCCTCACTGAAAGTACCTACTCCACAGGGCTGGTGTGCTTACAGGATCAAATTTCCATACATAAGAAAACAACATATATCAGTGACACTCAACAAATGTCAATTTTTATTATTTCTTAAGCTATCTCTTCCACAGTCACCAACTCACCTGTTCTAGGTAGAGTTCCCAAATTCTGATCCCCTTCCTTGTGGTATCCCAGTGGCCTTCCATGCCCTCCACCTTCCTGCACTGGGTGCCCCTTGAGCAAAGGTGTCATAAAGGACACCAAGAAATCTATGTTCAAATATGCTCCCTGCCTTCAAGGAGCTCACATATAGGAGATCAAGCTGAAGCCACATGAAAAAGGGAGACAAGCCAAGAACATGGAGTAATTTAATTTTAAATCAGAGCTCAAGACGACGGAATTCATATCACCGTGTGCCTGCCAAGTTAACTGCAGACAGTAGCTGCTCTAACAGTTCAGAGCAAGGGAAGATCACCTCCGGCTAAGGGCGAGGGATGGGCCTGAGGAGGGGCACGACTTGAGCTGAGTCTGGAAAAACAGCCAGGACTAGAGGCAGTAGATGCAGGAAGAGGCCGCCCGGAATGGAATGTGGGCCAGACAGAAAGGAGGCAGCATTTCCCCACCCCAGGGTCCTGAGAGCTCCTGCAGAGTAGGACTTGGGTCTCACCCACCTCTGCGACCCCACTGACCCCTTGAACCCCGCCGCTTCAAGGGCAGTGGCAGTTTGTGGCATGAATGGGCAAACAGGGCAGGTGCAGAGCTGGTGGGACTCAGACATGGAGAGCCCAGGGGGCAGCCCCCAAGGCTTTCCACGTCTTTCCAGGACTGGGGGACCACCAGTCCCCCTGACCCCTTCACCCTGCCCCAGCCCCTTCCTGGCCTCAGTCCTTTTCCAGGCTCCACCCGGGAAGTGGTGCCAACACAGGGGGCATTGTGCTCCATCACTGTGGCCTATTCATACACACACAGCCCCCTTTTCACTGTGACCCTCAGGAAGTGCCACACCTCCTTTGGACCCCTCTAAAGGCCTGATGCTGCAGTAAAAGGCATGCTGAAATCTAGGCACATGTCCTGGCAGTGGGAAGGAGACACAGCCTCCACTCCAGGCCCCATGCCCCCTTCTCCAGCAGCTTCTGGGAGTGCCCAAGAGGGAAAGCATAAAATAAAAACGTCTAGGTCCAGGGCCGACAGGTGATGGATCTCCTAGGTTCAGTTCCTTCTCTGAGTTGGCCCCCACTGCTCTTGTGGGAGCTTAGATAGCCAGGCCAGAAGACTGCACAGGACCCCATGGGCCTGACCAATGCTGGAGCATCAGACAAAAGGGAGGCAGGGCTTTTGTCGAAGACGATGCAATGTGTTCAGCCAGCCTCTATGGAGGGTCCATGTGCAATGAGGGTGAAGGTCATTCCACTGACATCTTATTCCAGAGGTCCAAAACCCTGCTGTCCATCTACAGCTTGCTCCAGGGCTGGGATCAAACAGTCCACCTCTCACTTCGGGCCTCCACAGCCTGCACTAGGCCTTCGCCCAGCACAGCAAAGTCCTCCAGGATTGCTTCTACATTGGGCACCGTTCCCAACTCTCCACCTTGAGACACCACCATACGTCCCTTTGTGCTGGAGGCCTGGGGGAATCAGGGAAGAAATGTAGGCTGAGGTGTCACAAAGGCTCACCCAGAGACGCCTCGCAGAAGCCTGAGTGGGGATGGTGGAGACAGACACATGGGCCCACACACTCCACAACTACACAGGGTCACTCATGGACTACGCAGTTATGAGTACCCACACAGAACCACGTGCACACACTCAGGAACACACAGCTCAGCTTGCATACCTTGAAGGGCTGGGGCTGGAAGCTGGTAGGCTTCCAAAGGACACCTATCACCTCCCCACCATGCTGGTCGTAGAAGAAAAGAGCCAGATGCCCAAAGGCCTCCTAGGAAAGGACAGAACAGAAGATTACAAATGGGTTGGGTGAGGTGGCATGAGGCTGTAGTTCCAGCTACACACGAGGCTGAGTCGGAGACAAAGCTTCCACTCCCAGAAGCAGCTGGAGTAGGGGCGATGTGCCTAGAGGATCACATAAGCCCAGGAGTTCAAGATCAGCCTGGGCAATGTAGTAAGACCCCATCTTTTTTTTTTTTTTTTTTTTTTGAGTTGAAGTCTTACTCTGTTGCCCAGGCTGGAGTGCAGTGGTACGTTCATGGCCACCCCGGTGTCGACTGCTGGGTTTAGGCGATCCTTCCACCTCAGCCTTCCAAGTAGCCAGAACTATAGGTATGCACTGCCACGCCTGGCTTTTTTTATTTATTTATTGTAGAGACGAGGTCTCGTGAAGTTGCCCGGGCTGGTCTTGAACCCGCAGGCTGAGGCAATCCTCTTGCCTCAGCCTCCCAAAGTGCTGGGATTACAGGCTGAGCCACTGAGCCTAGCCTAAGATCCCATCTTAAAAATAAATAAATAATAAAGGTCAGTCAGTTGTTTAGGACCCACCCTGAGCTGTGCCAGATAGAGCTGAGGAGGATCATAGCCCAGCACGGGCATCAGGGATGAGGGCCCTGGCTCACGGAGCAGGCCACGGCAGAAGGAGGCAGCTGGTGAGTCCACAGCCTGGCGATGCCGCGGGATGTGGCGGGGAGATAGGCGAATGAGCACATCATACAAGTCCAAGGGTGGCCGGAACACTGTCTGAGAAAGGGGGGAGGGTCAGCCGTACCACCTGGAGTTGGAAGCTGGAACACAAACCTCTCCACATGTCCACCTTGGTTCCCTTCATCTCCTTCATCTGACCACCCATCATGAGTCTCCCTCTATTTGAAGAAAGGAACACCAAGGCCTGGAAGCAGCTGGTGCCAGCTTGAAGCCAGCAGGAGCAACACAGGCTAGAAGTGTGAGGCTCCCCTAGGCTCTGCCGTTGCCAGTACCATAGTAGCTTCAATGTCTTCCTTGGACTCACTCTTCCCAAACAAGGGAACCAGCATCCTGTGAAGGCCCCCCTCCCCTTTTTTGAATTGGAGTCTCACTCTGTCACCCAGACTGGAGTGCAGTGGCCGCTCCCGGCCACCGCAGCCTCGACCTGCTGGGCTCCATCGACCCTTCCACCTCAGCCTTCCAAGTAGCTGGAACTACAGGCGCGTGCTACCATGCCCGGCTAATTTTTTTTTTATTTATTGTAGAGATGAGGTCTCACCAAGTTGCCCAGGCGGGTCTCGAACCCACGGGCTCAGGCAATCCACTCACCTCAGCCTCCCAAGGCGCGGGATTACAGGCTGAGCCACCGAGCCTGGTTTGAAGGCCCCTTAAATGCTGAACTCCCAAAGATGAAACCCCCAGAGCCCCAGAGTGCTACTGGTCAGAGATTTACCCTGATGTCCCCAGAGTCCCGGGGATCCATCAGCTGCTTCTCTAGGATGGGCAGGGCTTCAGCTGCCAGGACCACGAGCTGCTGTAGGATCTGGGGGTACAGAGACATCAGACCACAACTAATACCAGCCTAACTCAGGCTGGGCCTGCTTTTTCCTTGGGGAAGAAAGCCACACATCTGGGGCAGGTATGGGGTTGAACCTGGGCTGAGGGTCCATCCTGTGTCCACAGAGAACTTTTGCGGTCCTGGGGGGTGATAATGACCATGATGGGGAGTTGTGTCCGAGCTGCCAGAAAGCCACTGCGGATCTCCGCCTGCTCCTCCGCTAGAGACACGGGGATCCTGAGTTAGCCTGCCCCTCCCTGTGAGACCACCCTCTACTGCCCCATGTCCTCTTACCACACTCTAACAACTGCTCTTCCCAGGCATTTTCCAACATCCCCCCAAGCAGCAAAGGCAACGAAAGGGACACCGCATTTGCCTCATCAGGTGGGGTGTTAATCTCCCAACCTCAGTCCACAGGCAGAATTTTCCACTGCCTGGCAACCCCCACCCTGGTCTGTTTTCTGGGCCTGCACAAGCTGAATCCTGCCCTGGCCTCCTCCCACATGGGCTGCCACACACCTGGGGAATTAGGAATCTGACACCTGCTCTCTACTGAGCCCAGGAGTTCCTAATGTTACAGCCAGAAATCACCATTCCACCCCCCAAGAGGTCTGGGAATCCACTCTTGACTCCTAGCTCCTCATCCTAAAACTTCTCAGCTGGTGTACAGGATCCCATCGATGCTCCTTTCCTCCCTACAGCCCCGAGAGCCGACCCCCAAGGAAACTGCTTACCCCCGCCAAGTCCATTCTGTCTTTAACCATGATAAGGGCAAACGCTATGCATGCAATCAAGCGTCACCTGGACCTCTTCCTCCCGATGATTCCCCGCCCCAAGGTGGCCAGGGTCAGGCTCAGGTATCCGGGATGGGGGAGGTACACAGAAAACCTAACAGACTGATGGAAAACCCTCGCCTGCCCTACTCTGCAACCCATAGAAGGTAGTTCCTCCACCAGTCTGACCCCAGCCCTACCACTCACCAGTGAGCTCATTGTTGAGGTTGACAATGAGGGGGTTGTTCTTCCAATCAAAGGTTGACAGCAGGAAAAGGAACCGAATGAAGCCAACCTGGGGGGAGCTAAAGGGCAGGAGTAAGCCAAGAGGCTGTGGCCCAGCCACACATCCCCAGACTTCCCTCAGTCCACCAAGCTCAGAACCCCTGGTGTGGACTGCGGGGAAAGGGGGCTGCGGGGCACATCTCAAACCCCTTCTATCACTTGCTCAACCACCCCTGTACCATTTGGACTAAAGGTACAGCATGAAGGGTGCTAGCTGGCCCCAAGAGGAACTTCTAAGCTAGGAAAAAAAGTGGAGGGACTCACCTGGGAGGGGTGAAGGGCTCAGGGTGCAGGAAAAGGGCAGCAGCCACCAGATCCAGGCTCTCGTCGGTGAACCCCTCACCAAGGAGCTGGGCACGCACCCAGCGCTTGGCCAGCCGAGCTACCCCTGAGAAGGCTGGGTGCTGCTGCTGGAGTCTGTGAAGAGGAGTGAAGTGGCAGTGAGACTCAGGCGCTCAAGGCTCAGGAACAATGTCTCTATTCCACCGCCACTGTTTAGCCAACCCTTGTCAACACCAGCCTCTGTGCTCACATGCTACAGGAACAGTCTCATGTCTTCTTGACAAATGCTCCAAGAGGTGGATCCTAGGGTATTCCCATATTACAGACAAGAAAAATAAGGGCTGGCTCACGCCTATAATCCTAGCACTTTGGGAGGCTGAGGTGAGAGGACTGCCTGAGCCCACGGATTCAAGACCAGCCTGGACAACTTGGCAAGACCTCATCTCTACAATAAATCAAAAAATTAGCTTGGCGGGGTGGCGCACGCATGTAGTTCCAGCTACTTGGAAGGCTGAGGCAGAAGGATCACCTGAGCCCAGCAGGTCAAGGCTGCAGTGGCCGTGAGCATGCCACTGCACTCCAGCCTGGGTGACAGTGTGAGATTCCAAGTCAAAAAAGAAAAAGAAGGACGGACGGAAAATCCTGTCCAAAGGGCAGTCAGTAAGTGGAAGGGCCAGGATTCTAGAACCTACTTGACTGCAGAACTTACTCCTAACTATTACAACATCTGGCTCCCCCAAAGAGGAGATCAGGAGAGCAAAATGAGGGCAGACAAGGGCCTGTGTGGGTGGCCTTACCCATGCAGGGCACTGGTGAGCAGGGGCAACTGCCTGGTGTCTCTCTCAAGGCGGAGTGAAGCAGGGGTGTCCCTCAGTGAGATCATCCCCTCGGGACTCCGCATCTCTCTTAGGATCTGGGGCTCCCGCTGATAGGCCACACGAATTCGAAACACAAAGCCATCCTGTTGGAAGAGGGTTGGGATGGGAAGTACATGTCGGCCCGGGTACTCTGCTGTCCACAGAGGTATCCTCTTCCACACCCTGACATCCCTGATCCCACCTTCCCTGGGGGAATCCTTGCCTGCACCAGTCTAACCTTGAGGACATCAGTGTGCGTAGCAGTGGCACGGCACTGCAGCCCATGCTGTTGCGTCAGCAGCTCTGCCAGGCGCAGCTGGAAGGCGGCTCGGACCCGCCGCACAGCCTCAGCATCCTGTGGCCACTGACCACTGCCCTCCAGGTGGCAAACCACTGAGGGAAAAGAGGAGTGGCGTCTTGAACTGTGGCCCCAAATGGGAACTGTTCCCTCTACTCCCTTCCAAGGGCCCCCTTACCAGTCATAGGCTCCACATAGGCTGGACAGGGCTTATCAGGCCGGGGCAACAGTGATGCCCGCTCTCGCAGGTGCTTGTAGAAGGAAGAGACTGGTCGGACTGGAGTTGGTGGGAATACCTGTGGAAAAAGGGGAAATGAGGAAGGGCCCTGGGGCTGGAAGGAAGTGCCCAGAGTGAGGAGTTGGAAGGGGGAATACTGGCCACACTCGGTGGCTCAGCCTGTAATCGCAGCACTTTGGGAGGCCGAGGCAAGTGGATTGCCTGAGCCCAAGGGTTCGAGACCAGCCCGGGCAACTTGGTGAGACTTCGTCCCTACAATAAATCACAAAAATTAGCTGGGGATGGTAGCACACACCTGTAGTTCTGGCTACTTGGAAGGCTTAGGCAGAAGGATAGCCTGAGCCTAACAGGTCAATATTGAGGTGGCCATGAGCGTGCCACTGTACTCCAGCCTGGGTGACGGAGTGAGACTCCATCTCAAAAAGAAAACAACAAAAAAAGATGGGGGGATACTGGGTAACTGGAGCAGAGGTGGGGCTCACCAAGCAAAAAGGGTGCCCTGCCCCTGTACACCTCACCTCTGTGTAGCGAAGCACTGGGTGAGCTCCTTGAACAGCAGACACAGTCAGCGGAAGACCCTCCAGCCCCCACAGAAGGCGGCTGAGGTCGTCGTAGCAGCGCACCGCTGCTGCCAGGGCCTCCTCACCTGTGCTGGAGGTCTAGGAGGGAGAAGGCAGTCAGGAGGCTAGGCAGCAGCAGAGCCACCGTGCCCCCTGCTGGACACTAGAGGAAGCGCACCCTGCCTGAGGGGGAAAGGGTTCTTTGCCCCCAAAAGACTTCTCTATAATTACTGGCCTTGACCCCAAGCTCTTACCTGTTTAAAGCCTTGGATCAGTGAGTCCAGGAGGCCCCCCACATAGTGGACACAGGTTTCTGGGATGTCAGCATGGCTGAAAAAGGAGCACAGACATAGTGAGGGCTTTGGGGGCTACGCTCCCCCTCAACTGCCTGGGCCAGACCCCCCTAAAATCCCACAGTTGCCCCCTGGAATCAGAAGCTAACACTCACAGTGCCAAGAGGTGGGTGACCACCTGGTGGGGAATAAGGCGCTTCTGGGACATAGACGCTGCCTCCCACACCACAGCTTCCCGGATGGCTCCATCCTGGAAGCGCCGAAGCTCTGAGCGGGACCCCCAGAACTGGCGGAATTCAGCAGCCTGAAGAGAGGCCAGGGGTGGTAGGAGAGATCAAGAAAGCGCTCCCTCAGTAAACTCCTGCTGGAGATCAACCCAAATGGCAGGAGGATGGCCCTCCCACTACATCCGATGTCCGTGCCAAGGTTCCTCACCTCAGGCTGGTCTGCCTCTGGACCCAGCTCTAAGACACTGGTCAGTCCCTCAGGCCGGAGGAGCAAGCCCAGGGCCAGGGACCCAGAGTCTTTGTGCTTCGGTGGATCTTGGCTGATATCCCACTGTAGGGTGTAAAAAGGTTGAGCTCAGCCCAAGAATTGTCCAGCCTGGCCTGAAATCCACTTTGTAGCTAGGAAGGTCTAGCTAGAGGGATGGTGTGCTCGTTGTGACCTTTGGGACCCTAGATCTTTCTAACCCCACTCAACCCACAAACTCCTGAACCTGTGTCACCTCACCTCTAGGACGGGGGGCCGAGAGTGAACCAGCAGATGCAGCCGGGATCCCAGGCCCTGCTCCAGGAGGGTGGTTAGTGGGCCCAAAGCAGCTGAGACATAGTCTCCACCGTTGTCTTGCAGCTCTGGCCAGAGCTTCAGCCGGTGACACGCTGCCTGCAGGCGACTCAGTGGATGAAGACTGGAGGGGCACAGAGCACCAATAAGGGGGAATCAGTGTCTGCTGGCCCCTAGTACCACCTCCTCCCTGTAAGATCTCAGCATCTGCCTGAAGACCTCTGCCCCTTCATGTAGCCCCAGGAAGACAGGACCCACCAACGTACCCTGTCACCCCTAAACTCACTGCAGGATGTGGTCAAAAGCCCGGATCATGGGTTTGGGAGTCATCAACAGCAACTGGAACGCATCGTCAGCTTTGCTGTCTAGCAACGCCATAGACAGTCGCGCTTCATGCTGCACCTGGGACCACAGGGTAAGGAGGGACCATCCCTGTACCCTTCAATGACCCAAGGAGAGCAGGAGACGTGCCTGACCTCAGCTCTCTGGAGAGGAGTTTCTGGGGTTCTAGTATTTGCAAAAGGGACAGAGTTTAGGCTGGGACATCAGAGGAACCCAGGGTTAGGGGCCCACTGGTACCTGGTGGTAAGTGGAGGCGGTAACATCAGCACATAGGTTGAGACGGCCTGAGGAGTCCACGAAGACAACAGAGAAGGCCTGGTGAAAATCAGCCAGGGCCGGCTTGGCGAGGGGAGAGAGAAGCCAGTCAGGGTTGGCGCCTTACCTGCAGGCTGCCTAGCACAGATCTGACCCTTCCCCAACTCACCAAAGAGGGGTCTGAGCTGAGACATAAACTGATCCCATTGACTGTCAGATCTGTGGTGGCTGAAATAAACAGAAGTGTGTCAGAAGGCATCCCCCTTCCTGGAGACCCAGCTCTAATGATACCCTCCCTCAAACTAGGTGCCTGTAACAACCTCTGGGATTCAGTTTGCTCATCTGTCTGATGGCAAGAAACCAAAGGACCCCTGATCAGATAAGAGGACTCCCAGGATGAGTGGAGCCCCTGGACTTTCTTTTTTTTTTTTTTAAGTCATAGCCTCACTCTATCACCCAGGTTGCTCACAGCCACCACAGCCTCAACCTGCTGGGCTCAGGCTATGTCAGCCTCCAAGTAGCTGGAACCACAGGCGTGAGCCACCACACCCGGCTAGTTTTTTGATTTATTATAGACATGAGGTCTCGCCAGATTGCCCAGGCTGGTCTCAAACTGCTGGGCTCAGGCAATCCTCTCGCCTCCACTTCCCAAAGTGCTGGGATTACAGGTGTGAGTCACTGTGCCCGGTCAATCCCTGGCCTTTCCCCTTCAAGGTGCCTCACCCAGAAACTGCAAGACGTTTCTCAGGACCTGGTAGCCACTCATGGTGCTGTGGATCTTGCGTGTGGACACAAGGAAGGCAACCAGCATGGAAACAAGGAACCCAGAAAACCCACCTAGACCCTGAAAGACAGACACGAAAGGCCTGAGCTCAAAGCCCAGCACTCAGTGGGACAGGGAGGCTGGACCACCCCAGCTTACCTTGCTCAGCTCTCGCTGCCGCAGCCAGACCTTTAAAAGAGCCACACCATCCTTCAGCCCCTGGGTTGAACCCAGAGTGGTTGACAGGAACTGCACGTGGGACTCGAGAGCAACATCCTGCAGGATCCACGTGTTGTAGTGGGGTGTAGGGGGCTCGGGGCTGCCTGAGGGAGGAAATGGGAAGCCATGAGAGGAGAAGTCCCCAGACACCCTTCCCCTCCAGCTCCAGCTCCACACCAGTGCCCGCTCACCATCCTCTGCCAGACTCTGCCCTTGGTACCAGGCAGAGCGTACATTGTTCTTGGCCGGCAGCAAGCGGCATGGGCGGAAGAAGTCAGGCGGAGGGCATGGGTGCAGACGTATGGTGACCAGGCGCTCATCCTTCCCTGGAAGAGATAGGAGGTGCTAAGACCCTGCAGCTGCCCCTGAAGCCAGAGGGATCCCCTACACCAGCCCCCTTGTATTAAGGGCCCAGGTCTTCCTGCCTCAGATTTGAAGTCTTTACACCTTCCCCCTCAAACTTGAGGCCCATGCCTTTCACCTGGGACTGAAGGCCTCTGTCCCTCGTCACCTATACTTAAGGCCCCTCTGTCTCCAGATGTGTCACCCCATTCTGTGCCCTTAGCCCAGTGTATGTGTCTCACCATGTGGTCGCAGCAAGAGTGAGGGCTTCAGGTGGCAGCCATTGGTGTAGGAAAAGCGGACACTGCCAAAGAGGGGGTCTTGGGCCAGGTGGTGAGCCAAGTGGGCCAGGTAGAGGGCACGCTTGCGGAAGTAGCGCTGGTTCAGCCCATCTTTGTCCTGTAGGATTTCCTGGAAGGGCCAGGGAAGGAAAGAGAAGGCCAGACGCATAAATGCTTGCAGAGCTGTGGATCAAGAGGAAGCCTCGGTGAAGGTCCCAGGGCTATTCTGCTGGTGGAAGTACCTGAGCCAGGGATAGCAACACCAGACACAATTCTCAAAAGAATGCAAAGTTTCAAAGGGACAGCACTGGTCCAAGGGCCCATCCAAGCTACCCCCGGGATGACTGCAGCGGTCTGCTTTTTTATTTAGAATTCAGACTCCATTCCCTGGCAACTGGCAGGTAAGCAAGAGAGGGACTCAGGGATTTGCAGGTGTAGGCCTCTCTACCCCCCAAACCCTGGCTCTTACCCTGGGCATGGTCAGTGCCAAATCCACATTGATGTCTGGTCGGATGCAGGTACCCAGGAGGTAGCTGCCCACAACAGTGACCTGAGCTGGGGGCATGAAGCAGAAACAGCCCTTCACGGTATAGGGCACTTGGTGGAGGGGTACTCGAACCCCAGCTGGGAGCCACGCCTGGTCAGTGAGCTGTAGGACAGAGACAGTGACACATACTGATTCAAATGTCTTCCTTACATGGCCCTTTGATGTCTAACAGACACTTTAACATATTAGTATGTCTGAAACCAATCTCCTAATATTCCCACAAACATGTCCTCCCCACATTAAGACAACTCCATACGAGTTACTTAAGCCTCCAAGATTTATTTATCTTACAGATTTTTTTGATTTATCGTAGAGGTGAGGTCTCACCAAGTTGCCCAGGCTAATCTCAAACCTGAACCCATGGGCTCAGGCAATCCTCTCACCTCGGCCTCCCAAAGTGCTGGGATTATAGGTGTGAGCCACCATGCCTGGCCTAGCCCCCAAAATTTAAACTACCTTGACTCATCTAAGAACGTTCATCTTAGCCAGGCTCGGTGGCTCAGCCTGTAATCCCGCGCCTTAGGAGGCTGAGGTGAGTGGATTGCCTGAGCCTGCAGGTTCGAGACCTGCCTGGGCAACTTGGTGAGACCTCATCTCTACAATAAATCAAAAAATTAACCGGGCATGATAGCATGCGCCTGTAGTTCCAGCTACTTGGAAAGCTGAGGCGGAAGGAATGCTGGAGCACAGCAGGTCGAGGCTGCGGTGGCCAGGAGCGTGCCACTGTACTCTAGTCTGGGCAACAGAGTGAGACTCCAACTCAAAAAAAAAAAAAAAAAAGAACATCCATCTTATTATCAAGATGTATTCAGAAATGGATCATTTATCTACCTTCCTCCTGGTTTGAGGAATCACCATTTTCCAGCACACAGCAGGTTCCTACCTAGTCTCCCCGACTTCTCTCTCATCCTCCCCACTATTCTACTTTCAACCCAAGAGGCTAAGTACACCTCTTATTTATTTTTCTGAATTAGGTCTCGCTGTCGCTCAAGCTGGAATAGTGGCACAATCACAGCTCACCACAGCCTTGACCTCTTGGGTTCAGGTGATCCTTCTGTCTCAGCCTCCTGAGTAGCTTGGATTATAAGTATGTGCCACCATACCCAACTAGTTTTTTTTTTTTTTAGTAGGAGACTCACTCTGTCAGCCATGGCATGCCCACAGCCACCACAGCCTCAACTTGCTGGGCTCAGGAGATCCTTCTACCTCGGCCTTCCAAGTGGCTGGAACCACAGATACATGCCACCACACCCAGCTAATTTTTTTTTTAATTTATTGTAGAGATGAGGTCTCACCAAGTTGTCCAGGCTGGTCTCGAACCCCTGGACTCAGGCAATCCTCTCGGCTCCACCTCCCGAAGTGCTGAGATTATAGGCGTGAGCCACTGTGGCTGGGTTGTTTTTTGTTTGTTTGTTTTTATAGAGACAAGTTCTCATTATGTTGTCCAGGTTGGTCTTGAACTCCTAGACTCAAGCAATCCTCCTGTCTTGGTCTCCCAAAGTGCTGGGATTGCAGAGCACATTTTTTTTATTTTTATTTTTTTAATTTTTTTTTTTTTGAGTTGGAGTCTCACTCTGTCGCCCAGACTGGAGTGCAGTGGCCGCTCCCGGCCACTGCAGCCTTGACCTGCTGGGCTCCGGCGATCCTTCCGCCTCAGCCTTCCGAGTAGCCGGAATTACAGGCATGCGCTACCACGCCCGGCTGATTTTTTGATTTATTGTAGAGATGAGGTCTTGCTGCCCAGGCGGGTCTCGAACCCGCGGGCTCAGGCAATCCGCTCACCTCAGCCTCCCAAAGGCGCGGGATTACAGGCTGAGCCACCGAGCCCGGCTAGGGCACATTTTTTTTTTCTGAGTTAAGAGTCTCGCTCTGTCACCCAGGCTGGAGTGCATTGGCACACTCACTGCCATCACAGCCTCAACCTGCTTGTCTCAAATGATCCTTCCGCCTCAGCCTTCCAAGGAGCTGGAACTACAGGCACGCGTCACCACACCCAGTTAATTTTTTGATTTGTTGTAGAGACGAGGGCTCACCACATTGCCTAGGCTAATCTCGAACCCCTGGGCTCAGGAAATCCTCTTGCTTCCTCCTCTCAAACTGCTGGGATTACAGGCATGAGCCACCATGCCCAGCCAGAGTACACTTTTTATTTTTTTTTTAATTTTAATTTTTTTTGAGTTGGAGTCTCACTCCGTCACTCAGACTGGAGTGCAGTGGCACACTCCCTGCCACCGCAACCTCGACCTGCTGGGCTCCAGCGATCCTTCCGCCTCAGCCTTCCAGGTAGCTGGAACTACAGGCGCGCACTACCATGCCC